CCCCCCTCGCCGCCGCGTTCCAAAGGCCGCCCCGGAGGCGGGTGGGCGGGGCCCAGTCCGGAGCAGCATTCCGAAAGGGGCCTGCTGGGGAGCGAGCGGTGAGGGACGGAGCGGCTGCTCTTCTCCGAGGTACGTGGCCGCGCTGGCGGGCTCTTCCACCCCCGACCCCGAGGCCGCTCGCCGTGTTCCTCCTGCTTCCCAGCGGGGGAAGCCAAGGTGGATGCGGGGCGAGCGCGCGTCTGAATCCTCCTTGGCTTGGGCCGCGCGAAACTTCCCCGGGAGCCGGTGCCTCGATTGCTGAGCCCCCTGCCCGCTGTGTCCCTTTCAGGAGCCTCGCCACGGAGGGTCCCCGGGCTTCCTCCGTCCTGCTTGGCTCAGGCGCTTTCGCTTCCCTTTCCTTGCAGAGGCGCTCTGAGCTCCCTTCGTCGGGAGTGCCGGAGATTGGCGCCCGGAGGTGATTGATTGATTGATTGACTGATTGACTGATTGATTATGTGCCACCAAGTCGCTTGTAACCGCATAGAGACTTTCTCCACGAACCCGGAGTTGGGCCAACACCTTTACTGGGACCATCCCAAATGCCGCCGAGGAGCGTGCGAGCCCCCGAGTTGCCCTTTCCCGGGAATGACTCCCGGGCTTGTCCACTCTTGTCGAGAGCAGAGATTTCTTTCCTGTGCCCCGAAGGAGAAAGAAATGTGTGGCTGACGTGGAAGCGGATCCTTTATATTAACTCCCACCCTGTGCCTGCTCCGAGTTTTTTTCAGGCTTCCTTCGGAGGCAGCAGTTCAGAGTTCTTCGTTTTTCCGAGAAATTTAACGGTTGAGCGCCCCGTGGGAAGAAATCTGATTTTTCCTAGATTCTCCATCTCTCCTGAGATTCCCGGGAAAAAACGGTGGATTTATCCAGTTCTAAACATGATTCGCATTGCCCTGATACCAGGATGGATGCAAGGCTGAAAAACCGATTTTTTAAATAATCCTCTTGCTTAACTAGATCTTAAACATTGCTTTCAAGGTTAGCCAAGTCAGTCTAGTAATATGATTCCTTTTTTGAAAAAAAAAACATTAAATACACCTTCTAGAAGAGGCATTAGACTGGTATTTGCAGAAATTCTTAGCAGACAATCTCTGTGCTGGAATTCCCTCTCCCTTCTGAAGAGGACTGAAAATCGATCTTCTGGCAAACAAGAAGGAACAGATGTAAGAATGGGTAGAAGAGCTAATAAAAAGAATGGTTTATACAGGAATTTAACCCTTTCTTGTTCAGTTGTACTTTTTAAGACTTGGCTAAGAAAGCATCTTGAGGCCAAGTGTCCATTACAGTACGTGATTGGGGAGGGTGAAAGACGTGGCAGTAGCATTTTTCCATCAACCTTTTGCTCACATCAGAAACTTCTGGCAAGAAAGTATGCGCTCTGTTACTGTTTACTTGCTAAATATGAATAATATGAACTTTCAGGCCAGTGCTTTCAAAAATGTGTAATTCTGTAAAACCAGTTTTTCTTAACAAATCAAGCCACTTTGGGTAAATCTAGATAGAAAGGGGGGGGATGGATAAATCCAAATTAAAAATAGGGTAAAATAGTGTATTGGATTTTCTGTAGTATTTGATTTCCCTCCAAATGTTTCACAATACTTTTCTGAGAATGTTGCATTGCATCATACTTGAATGAGCACTTTTGAGTTACTGAGGATCTGCATGAGATTTCAAGAGTATAGAAAAGTGATACGGCTTATGTCTCATAAAAAGTTGTACAGGCAGGGCATCATCGGTTGACTTCTTCACACATTTCATTAACTAACTCTCAGATTGATACAAACCTGAAATGGCAGGTGCAGTTTTTTTTCTTGCATAAAAGAAGCTGAAGATACTATGTAGCTAAGTCATGCAGCACTCAATGTAATCTTAGTGCTCTTTATCAACCTGGTGACTTTGTTACCCAGGGGTGTGCACAGGATTTGGTCAAAAGGTGGCCTTTCCATAAGTTGGGACTTCAACTCCCAAAGTTCATTGGCATATGGATTGGTCATGCTTGGTGGGAATGTTGAGAACTGTAGGCTTAACACATGCAAAAAGGCAACCATTTTGAGAAGCTGTCATTCACATTTATCTGGGAACTTCTGAGTAAATATTTATTGGATTGTATTATAAATAGCTTTGTGTTCCATTTTGGAAAATGTTGAACCTATAGAAACCATTTTGGAATATAGAAGGAGGGCAGTGAAGACAGTGTACTAAAATAATACTATTGCAAATACAAATTTGCTTTGTGTGTGTGTGTGTGTACATACATACATACATACATACATACATACATACATACATACATATTGTATTTAGGATGTAACTAACTTTGAGAATGATGGACTGGAGCCATAGATAGGTGAATGGATATTTTTCTATTCCATGAACGGAAGTATCCTGTCCCTTCAAATTACCCCTTGAAAATGCTTCATCTCTGAGAATGGTTTGTTAAAACCACTAACCCCAAAATGCTTCAGGGCTTTTTTCTAAATAGAAAATACTATTGGGAAGTATGTTTAAGATTGTAGTAAAATACTGTTCTCTTAATTAGAAACTAAAATATGGTTTCTAGTTTGCTGGCCTGGTAATTACTTTGAAAGGGCAGATTGTATATGTGATCTACCTAATTAATTGAAGACTATAAACTTGCCAGTATAAGTAAAATATATGTTCAGAGCCCTAGCCTAGCTTGACTCTAGGGGCCCATTCTCACATTATGTCTAGCCTCTGCCCTCAAATTGATGTCATCCTCCTGCCAGAGAGTGATTTATTAAGTTATTTATCCCACTGCAGTCTTGCAATTCTGAACTCATGCATTAGTGGTCTCTGCAGGATAGGGGCAGAGTGTATAAGTGTATCTGCATTGGTTTTCATGTGTGGTAGGACCCAGATAATGCAGCTTTTCCTTTGTGGAAGCTGAGCTAAATACGTTCAGGAAGCTGGTGTCATTTGAGTGGTCAGGGTTGCCTTGCGTGGAGCAATTGGATTTAGTAATGTGTGTATGGGACAGAGTAGTAGTAGGAGTTCCTCAAACTGTCTTCTCCAACCTTGGTGACTTCAAAATGCATGAGACCACAATTCTCAGAACTCCTAGCCAATGTGATCTCCACTGATTAGGAATTCTGAGTTATGATCCTAATACAGGGATGTTAAACTTTTCTGATGTTCACAAACTGGGCATAATATTTTGTGGGTCTCCCAGTTGTAGTGGGCAGAATGACAAAAGGAGGCAAACTTAGGATTTTCTGGGGGGTTTTTCCCCTTGAGCTTTTTTTGGAAAAGTTTGGAGTAGCTTGTTTTATAAATCACGTTAAGACTATTTTAAGGACATAATACTATGTATTGAGTGCCACTCACTCAAAATCACAGGGAACAATGGAACCATAGTTCAGAGAAGGTTTTATGAACAAACAAACAAAAGCAGGATTTCAGAGCCTTAAGGTTGATTACGATTATACTAACACATCCTGCATGCATCAGGTTGGAGAAGGTTGGCTTTGGTATCCATGTGGCTTCTGTCCAGAAAACATATTAAGGATGGAGCAGCGGTAGTCAGCAGTTGAGTGTTGGTGGCTTAACAAGGAAACAGAGGGTTAAATGTTTACAGTAAAGAATCCCAGTTGCCATGGGAAAAGACAGTGAGGCAAATAGAAAGGTGTAGATGAGCATGAAGAAGTCCATGTGGAATGGATGAGGTTAAAGGATGACAGGTTGGGGATGATGAAGTGATGGTTGGGAAACTTTACGGTTTGATGTATGTTCCAATTAAAAGTCATTCTGATTGCGTCTTTTAGGATTGCTTAGTAGAACTACTTTTTCCTAACAATGACTTTTGTATACTATACAATATTTTACATTGTATGCCTGGAAAAAGCACTTGGAAAGCTTGGAATAGAAGGAAAAGCATGGCAGGACTGGTCTCATCTTCAATAGCTAGTTCAGTGCTATCAGTGACTCCACTGATCCTAAACTAATTTTAACACTGGGATTGGTGATTAATGAATGTTATCTGAGTAACCTCTGAGAACCTGCAGAGGTGAAAAGTTATAGAGCTATCCCAATGTTGCAAAAGATACTGCAGATTACTTGCAGTTCTGGTTGAAAACACATTGTTATGCCTAGCAAAAGGCAGGTTTGCAATGTAGAATTCCATAGTAAATTTATGGGAAAGAAAAATGTAATGGTGTTGCTGTTGAGAATAGGTGTTCTCTAGTGGAAATTAGGCATCATGATTGCATTGTACCAGTGAGTGGCTGCTTTAATGAGGCATCATAAAAGCTCTGGAGCATAATGAAAACATTATTTGCATGAAGTTAATACAAGGAAAGCTTTGCTTTCTTTTCCAAACTCATCCTTTCTATTATAATAAAAGAAGATTCTTACAGAGTTTAAAAACTACATTTTTATATATATATAACTTTTATTGAAAGTTTTAACAGTAAAGACTAATACAAACTAAAATAGGATGAAAAAGAAGAAAGAGAAAAACTAAAAGTGCAGAAAGAAAAAAAGTAGAAGGAAAATAGAAAGAAGGAAAAAAGATATAAAGGAAGATACTGTATAAAGAAGCAGCTTCTGATCTTTTTCACAGCAGTTATAAGTACAATTATATTTTAACCTCTCTCTCTAAAGTTACATTCTGTCTCTCTTCTTTCTATAATCTATCCTGTCTAATCATCAAAACCATAAATCACAAGTTTATTTTTTCCTTCTTTATGCAAAAAGCCCATAAGGGGGTTCCAGTCACCAATAAATGTAGATATTGTCTTTTCTCTGATCAAACAAGTCAATTTAGCAAGTTCAGCAAGTTCTGTTATCTTCACCAACCATTCCTCCTCCATTGTAGTTATTTCCAGATCTTTCCATCTTTGTGCATACAATAATCTTGCTGCAGTTATCATATATAAAAGCAGTGTTCCGTGGCTCTTTTCTAACTATTTATCCATCAGTCCCAGGAGGAATAGTTCTGGTTTCAATTGAAAGTTAATCTTTAATATCCTTGGAATCATTATATGTATTTGAGCCCAAAATTTTCTAGCTTTTTTACATGTCTACCAAGCTTGATAAAATGACCCTTCTTGTTCACATTTCCAACATAAATTTGAAGTACCTTTATACATTCTGGATAATGTTTTTGGTGTCATATACTTTTTTATAAAAATTTTATTTAAAAAATTATTTAAAAAATTATAAAAATTCTCCTTAAGATTATAACATGTGCTTTTCGATGCTTTCAACCACATATTTTCCCATTGTTTCATTTGTATATTATAACCAAAGTTTTATAGCCCACTTTATCATACATTCTTTGAACTGTTCTTCTGTTTCAAATTTCGATAAAAGTTTATAAATTTTAGCAATTACATGTTCATCATTTGCAGACAATTCCATTTCAAATTCTGTCTTACGTTGTTCAGTACCATGAATTCTTTCATCTACTTTAAATCTTTCTGATATCCGTAAATAAGAAAATCATTGACAACTATGACCCTCTGTCATCAGTTCTCTTTATTTTATTTTATATTCCCCTTGATATAATTCTGGTATCTCACGATACGCTAGCCATTTGTGTTTGCTTATTATTTTCTCATCTATAAAATGCTTCTTGTGCTGAGAACCATAAAGGTGTTTTCAGGCACAACCTCGTTTTTTATCTATTCCATATTCTCAATATGGCACGTCTAACATAATGATTTTTTAAAATCTACATTAACCTTGACTTTACCGTACCATAAGTATCAATGCCACCCAAATTTCAGGACATGTCCTTCTACGTCTTTTATTTCTTAGCAACACCCATTCATTCATCCAAACCAAACAACAAACCGCAAAATACAATTTCAAATCAGGTAAACCCAATCCTCCTCTTTCCTTTGCATCTTCTAACACCTTATATGTAACTCGTGGCTTTTTCCCTTGCCATACAAACTTAGATATATCTTTTTACCATTGTTTAAATGGTATATCAGTTGTCAAAACGGGTATTGTCTGAAACAAGAACATCATTCTAGGCTGAACCTTTTCACAGAAATTCTCCCCAACAATGACAATTGTAGTTTCTCTCATCTTAACATATCTTTTTTAGCTTCATTCCATGTCTTAACATCATTATTTTGAAATAACATATAATTCATATTAGTTATAATGATACCCAAATATTTTACTTTTTTTTCAATCTTAAAACCAGTTTTCTTCATCAGTTGTTTGATCCTCTATTTTCATATTTTTTGTTAACGTCTTTGTCTTTTGATTATTAATCTTGAAACCTGCTAACATACCAAATTCTTTTGATTCTCCCATTAATATTTCTATTCTGTTTAACGGATCCTCCAAAACCAACACCAAGTCATCAGCAAATGCCCTTAATCTATAAGTTTCTCTTTTGATATTTACTTCTGCAATTCTCTCATTTTGTCTTATATGTCTATTCAGTATTTCAAGAACTAAAATAAACAGGAGTAGAGACAAAGACATCCTTGTCTTGTTCCTTTTTGTATCTCACAGGGTGGAATTTAAAAACTACATTTTTGTAACACAAACTTTCATAAAGCACAACTCTTTTTTCTCAAGCCTTCTTAAAGTGTTGTTAGTGTATAGCTAACATATCTGCTGAGATAGAGTTATGGTTAGATTATCCACTTTTTAAAGTCAAGACATGATTGTATTTTGTATGTTTGTCGATCCCTTTCAGTATTGTAGAACAAACCCTTCGGTTTATTAAGGCTACCTAGCACTTTGGAATTGAAGGCAAAAGGGGCTTCAGAGGATGCAGAGATGCAGGAGAACGCTGTCCTTGCATCTTCCTTGGCTCTGTGATGACTAGCTGTGCAGTCCTAGAAGAAGATATCAACTATTCCAAGGCATCTTTTTGTCTGGATTCATAGAACTCCAAAGGATTTTCCTCTCTTTTTTTCTTAGAAAGCAAAGAGGCCATCATCAGGAATTAATCAGCTATATGAGAAACTCAGAGTTTGTGAACATCTGGTCAAGGTTTTGTCTCCAAGATGCACAGCTTGAGACACTGAAGCTACATGGGATTCCTAAGGAAAAGGGAAAATGATTAAATACTTGACAGGAGAATAATAATATATTTAAATTTTATTCAATAGAAATGTAAATAAAATAAAGTCTGATTTAGTTCTTGTCCTGTCCCTACACATTACTTTGGGACTGTGGCCTCCAGTCCGTCTCTCAAAAGTAATCCCAGGCCTAGAGCAATTTTGCTTTTGGTTTGCACTGCTGTTTTCAGCGCCCTTCTGTTCTGAATCTTATGTATTAAAACTTTTTCTTAATTTTCTTCTACTCTGTTTTCAAATGTCAACATTCAGTTGATGCAAAAAGTTACCAATTACATGCTTAAAAGGCTGTATACTGTTTTTCTGATTGTTCCCTGATGTTTTCACACAGTTTGTTTCACTTTAAACTCAGTAAATTGAATCATGGATAGCATATTCCTATTTCAAACTATTTAGGTATAGTTGTGGCCAGTTCATATGTATGGGTATAGGTACTCCAAAATCAGAACCCCTTTTATTAACAAGATAATTTCCCCAGCCTTTGCATGGTTAATAGTTGCATCATTTCTAAATGCCAGAGTAGATGTGGCAAAATAAGAAATGCTTTTTCTTGATTGAAAGAATGAAAAATATCTGAAATAATGGGCTTATGAGAGAAGGAGCTAAAAAGAGAGAGAGCAGTATATATTAGATGAGCCTTAAATGGTTCTGGAGATAAAACATTCCTTCGGTATAGTGACCATGATATGATTTGATAGGACTGCAGCTGGAATAAGCCATTAGCAGAAAACATGGCTTTTACAGAAAGTACACAATGCAGTAAAATAAGTTAGGTCCTTACACTGACTGTTCCTAAACCAAGTATATTTAATAGATAGCTGATTACAAGGTTGATTAAATTTTATCATAGTAATATTAAATCACCTGTTCTGTTAGAGAGGAGCCGCAGAAGAAATTAAGTTGCTACTATGTATCTCCAGAAATGTTTAGCTGTCGCATCCATTGATTCATTGGTAGCTTGTTTACTGGACTAGATAGTCTGATGTATTGTGGGGAGAAGCAGTGTTATGCACACATAATGGGAGGGCATATCTAGGAACTGATTATGATCTTGAATGTATTCTGGACTATAGAAACAAAGCCTGAATTTGGATTTCAAAGTATTTATTTTCACCCATGAGTTTTACTAATCTTAAACACCAAAGTATTCTGAAAAGAGCCTCTGTATTCTCCTTTTTAATTACAGAAGGAGGATGTGGAAGTCCTGCCAGTACAAATTTTGAAATATTGCTCTGGACAAATATTGGTGCTTGATACCGTCATGTGATATATGTGTTTTGTAGAATGAAAATAAAGAGCCTCTGTATTCTCCTTTTTAATTACAGAAGGAGGATGTGGAAGTCCTGCCAGTACAAATTTTGAAATATTGCTCTGGACAAATATTGGTGCTTGATACCGTCATGTGATATATGTGTTTTGTAGAATGAAAATCTACAGGGGAAATAGTTGGGATAATCCAGAAATGAACCTTTCATCATAATTATATTTCTTTTTTTTAGGTGTGCTAAAGCAAATCAGTAGCAAAAACTATGTTGGTCTCAAGGAAGTTGTGTCTTCTGATCCTTTGGATTCTACTGCCTTCTTCTCACACTCACACAGATTTCTTCACTTCAATTGGTAAGTGATGCTTTTAAGCATTTCTAAGTGATTCAGTAATAACAGTATCAAAAGTTTAGTAAATTAATTGCTTTGTTTATTAGTTATCCATCTGCTATCTGCTGAAGGCTAGAATATGATCAGTCACAAAATTTAGGTGTTATATAAAAATACCAGGAAATAATAAAATGCCATAGGTATAAGCTCTCAAGAAGCAATAGAAATATATTGGAAGTACTATTACCTGTTGTTTACATAAACAATTGCATTTGGTTATATTTTAATATTGCTTCTTCCTTATTTGTAAAGGGAGAACTACCAAGAATCATAACATCTGTGTATTAAGATCTGTTGGTGACATTTTTGAATTGGTTCAGTATATGATGGTGTCTTTGCACTGTCCTGCAAAATGGCTGGGCTTATAACCTGACTTCATAAATATATGCAGGAAGCATTTTTCCAACAATTAATTTTATTTCAGTCAACAATCAGTAAATTGCAAAAAATCTTAGTTTTTGCTTCCTGTTTGTACATATCACAATTTTGCTTGCGTGGTACTTCTGGCATTCACTCTGTTTATAGAAAATAAGAATTAATGCTATGTCAGTAGTATTAGAGAATAAGAATTAATACTATGTCAGCATTTAATATGGGCATATTATTTACATTAGAATGATTAATATGACTATACTTTATGGCTGTTTATTTAATAATTATAAGTGTCAATGGCCTTGTCATTTGAACTTTAAAAAATGACATAATTCATCTTTCTCCATTTCTGATAGTAAATGTTAAAGTAGATGTGCTTCAATTGGCTGGTGGCTTCATAGTAGAGTATTTGTGGTTTCCTGTTCTACCTGCTGGGGTTGCAGACTTAATATCTAGGATTAACTTGAATGAATGTGAGGCTGGGAAAGAGTAAAAAATAAGGTTCTAGCTATGTGCTTACTAGCCAGTATGAAATTCTAAATTCATGTTTCATTGTCTTGCCCATGAAATGACAATACGAGCTACAAAAAGCAAACAGATAATACAAACCTGCAAAACTATCAGTGAAGATTAATATACTATAAAACTGCCACTGAGAAAATAACTTGTGCAGAACACTCAAAATCTATAGGGATAGTACGCAGGAGTAATTTAATTTAAGCAGATCAATGTGAAATTATTTTTGCAATATTTGCAAGACGTGGGTGGCAAAACCGATTGCTGCCTTACAGCTTGCATTCAGCTGTAATTTATTGGTGTAATATTCTTCTTACCTAGCAAAATGGGAAAGATTAGTTTAAAGGTTCCTAGGTGAAGAAAACAATGCTCCTCACATTTTTTTTTTCAAGAACTGGGAGAGAGTAACCGCAAATTTACTTATTTGGGCTTGTTGGCTTTTAAAACTAAAGAGTTAGAACTTCATAACCATGTTCATGAACATACTGATTGTACTGATCTGTCTTTTAGGTCATATGACAGACCTGATTCATACAGAGAAGGACCTGGTGACATCACTGAAAGACTATATCAAGGCAGAAGAAAACAAGTTGGAACAGATAAGGAAGTATGTAATTCTTTGAATGGTAATATTTAGCAGTGTCCCACCACCCAAAGTAAAAAATAAAATCCTTATGCTAAATAATTCGTGGCTTTTTTGAGGGTAAGACTATATCTTTTTTTTTGGTGAAAGCTCACTGAAAATCTTCAGAGATAAATATATATATAGTGAGTAATAGCATATCAGTAAGTCCTCCTGAGATTCATTCCCTCATTTGTTTCATATCTTAGGAAAAAAATACTGGAGCACTGTTAAAATCACGGGTTAGTCAATTTCTCTCAGCACAACCTACCTCACAGTGGATAAAATGAAGAGAGATTTTCACGTAAGCCACCTTGAAAAGATAGGATATAAATATGTGAACAAGATTAATTTTATTAAGAGCCAACTCAGAAATGTGTATCTCATGACAATGTATAGTATTGTGTATGTGTGTGTGTAAGCATTTATGGTATCCATGGCATTGGCTTAACAATTTACTAAGCTTTCATTTTCTCTGCTTAGGTGGGCCGAGAGGTTGGATAAGCTGACAGATACTGCGACAAAAGACCCAGAGGGATTCTTGGGACATCCTGTGAATGCATTCAAGTTGATGAAGCGACTGAACACAGAGTGGAATGAGCTTGAGAATTTGGTCTTGAAGGACATGTCTGATGGTAGGGTTTTTGAAATCCTTTGAAGCAGTTGATCATTAAATGATTGGATAGCCAAGGACATCTGGATTTCAATTCATGTCTTAACAATGAATTCACTGGGAAGAGTTCCAAGTATGGTTAAGTATAAAAACTGATTTGATGTTAGATGCGGCACCCTAAGCAGTGCAACTAACTACGGTTGAGTGTATTGTCCAAATGCTGGGGGAAGGATACTTCTGGCTAGAAGTGACAGAGGATGTAATTATAAATGTAGAACAAACCATGGCAATGTTTACTGATTAGTTCTGGATGGATCTCTCTTCCTGAGTTCAGTTGATATTCTTCATAATAAAGCACACAACAGTGGCTGGTTTCCTTAGTGATGAGATTGGCGTTGCGTCAAGTATAATACTACAACTTATTGACGAATGTCATTGTCGATAATTTCTTTCATTCCTTTGTGATTATCAGCTCTGGCCTCATAACATTCACGTGTTCACAAGAAAAGGAACAACTGAGTACCTTCTTTGCCTGTGGGCTCCCCTACAAATCTAAACATTCTTCTGGTTGGAATGCCTCCTCCTTCCATCCCTCTGAACCTGCCTGTCCTGGCCAGGAAAGAACAAACAGTGTTACATGCCTCTTTATTGACAACTAAGTGTTCTGCATTAAGCATGTTGAATTTAATTTAACTATTGAATTATATTTTCATGAGCAATCAATTGTAATAAAGGAAGTGTAAAACACTTTTTTTTTTTTTTTTGAGCAACCTGGTTCTGGAACCATCCCATTTTTTCCCCCAGAAGAGGGTGATTTATATATTAGATAAGATAAGGTAAAACAAAACAATATTAAGGATATGTAAAACATACTGTTTTCTGGGACAATGAAATATTCTGTTTTTTCTTCAGAAGTGCTTCCAATTCTTGTAGAGTTGCTTCTTAAAAACTGCTGAAACACCCCCCAGAAGAGCCAGATTGACATGGACTGTGGGAAAAACAGAACGTTGGGTTTTCCCCCAAAAGTTTTGTCCCTGAAACAATCTTATTTTGCACATCCATATATATTTATACTGCTCCTCTGTATTCCAGAAATAGCCGAAGAAAATGTTACTGAACTATAAGAATATTTTTTAGCATTATTGCAGTTATGTACACATTTCAGCCATAATCCATTTTGCCTTACAAAGTAATATTACTTTCATTATCAAAAAGAAGATGGTTTATAACAAGAAGGCTCTATGCATTGCAGTTATTCCCCCCCCCAAAAAAAAAATCTGGGACTGAATCCAGATTTAGTCATGCCTAAGGAATCAGTGAGCCAGTGATAAGTCTGGAAGCAACCTAGAGGAGGAAGAGGAGGATAAACTATGGACAAAGATGCGGAAGAAGACCTGTAGGTGGGAGATTGGTTGGAATTGTGATCCATGCAGAGGAACTGAAAACTACAACAGCCTCTTTTTATTTTTAGGGTTTATTTCCAACATGACGATTCAACGGCAGTTTTTCCCTAATGATGAAGATCAGACTGGTGCTGGCAAAGCTCTCTTGCGACTCCAAGATACATATAATTTAGACACTGACACAATCTCAAGGGGAAATCTTCCAGGTAAAGTAAGAAACAAGCATTAAAGGGAAACAACACCTCAGACAACTTTCTTGTGTTTCAGAGGGACAGAGCTCATTTGTATATGATTTGAGCTATAGAGAAGATCTAAATGGTCTCATAGTTTCCTCCCCCCTCTTCTCTTCTTCTAGGATGCTCTGATTTTTAATTACAGTTTTCTGTTTTTACATACATACATACATACATACATACATACATATGTATATATAAAAAAAGAGTTTTTCAATACAGTAAAAATAAGCAAAAAGATAGTAAGAAAAAGAGAATAAAGAAAGGAATAATGATAAAAAAGGAAACATACAATTATGCCTTCCACCCATCTCTCTGTTGAGTAATCATTATCTTTTTCCCATCCTCTTCATACCTTTTTAGTCCCCAAATCCTGAAATCATCAATTCAATCTTTTCTTCTTTCAACAAAAAATCCATATAAGGTTTCCAGTCTTTCAAAAAGATCTTTGTCATTTTTTCTCTGACAAAATTTTTTCTCTGGTTAGCTTCATGATTTCTGCAAGTTCAGTTTTATAATTCAATCTTCCACTGTGGTTATTTCATTGCTTTTCCAACTTTCGGCATACAATAATCTTGCCACAGTTACCATATACAGTATTAATTTCCCATATTCTTTCTGAATTCCTCATCCATAAAATCCAGTAGGAATAATTCAGGTTTCATCGTAATATTAGTCCACAATATCTTTTGCATCACTGTATGGATTTGCTCCCTTTTTTTTTTTTTTTTTGCATTTTCACAAGTCTACCATGCATGATAAAAAGTCCCCTTTTCGTTTTCACACTTCCAACACAGGTTTGATGTTTCTTTATACATATTAGACAATTTAGCCGTTATCATATACCATCAGTACTTTTTTATAAAAGTTCTTTCTTATTTTTTTTTTTTTTTTTTTGCATTTTCACAAGTCTGCCATGCATGATAAAAAGTCCCCTTTTCGTTTTCACACTTCCAACACAGGTTTGATGTTTCTTTATACATATTAGACAATTTAGCCGTTATCATATACCATCAGTACTTTTTTATAAAAGTTCTTTCTTATTTTTTTTTTTTTTTTTTTGCATTTTCACAAGTCTGCCATGCAT